CGTGAAGCAACACATCTTGCGTTGTGTTTCGTCGTGTGAGTGAGGTTACAGGAGGCCCAATCACCCCCATCCCAATTTCTCCAATCTCCGAATCCCAAACAATCCTCAAATTCCTAATTCACAAAAGGCCGGTAACTCCCTCGTAACGCCTTTGGTGTATCGGGTAGTCCCTAAAAATGTACATTAGGAAAGGGACAGACATAAAAACCTTTAAAGTCTATAAATAGCAACATCACCGTTCAAACGCTTAAAGGCTTAACATTGAAATTATCGCGTCATATTAGTTACGTGTAAGTAATTATAATTGTTTATATAATTAATTTACGATCACGTATGGCTTGGAAAGCTTGATGATGCTGCATGATGACCCTCGATGTGTTCTGAGAGAAAACGCCTGGACGGTATGAGTCGGAAAAAGGAAAGTTATGTTTTAACAAGTTTGTAAGTGGTTGTTGTGTGAAGTCATGTCATTTCATTATTTACTACGTCTACGTCATAGTGTATAACAATCAATATGAAGAGTCACCAGAATTATCATGTTTCATTATTCCCATACATTGATTGTTGGTGTACGGTAAGTATACATCGCTCGCTTTAGTTATAAAAGAAAATGGTGCTGCCAACAGACTGACGAATTATGGTAATATCAGCTTACTACTATGTTAAGTAAAAATTAGTTCTTTGCATTTTTTAGGTTTAAAGTCAAATGGGTAAATGTAGATATAGTTTATCGGTATTTAAAAATACAATAACATAAACGCTGAATAGGTAAGATCAGTTGTTTTACTTCGTATAGAGTGTAGACCTTCAATGGACACTGCACATCTGCCAACAAGTTTGGTCAACAAATATTGGTCCAAAGCATATTGGGCCAACGTATAGTTATCCGGTTATTGGCACAATTGTATTCCATTATTGGTGTAATGAGAGAGTGTTTCATACAATCACTTTTACTTCATACATAATCTAAAGTAATATTTCATCGCGTTAATTGTATTTAATTAAATAATTCATCGCTTTACAGTGATAGTTTCTATTCGAGTGACGACGATGACGCAGGTGGAATGCGCGGTTTGTCCACGAAATAATATACTTTTTAAATCTCTATTGAAGAATTCCTCGTGTAATTATAAGGAGCTGTCGAGTGCTTTCTACAACATTCGATGATGAAGGGTTTTCTACACGTAATTAATAATGCCATGTTCCGCATAATAATGGGCAATGATAATATAATTACTTATTACATTTGTGCATTTTATTCTACAAGTGAATGGCTACTAGTTCTATTTATGGGAATTATTTGAAATGTTGCGTATAATTTACGCTATGGAAATACAAAGCAATCAGCATGAAATATTATTTCATTAATATTTCATACAGCTTACAATAAACCACGTAATTCTATTTAAATATTTATGAAACGTTTCCGTGTCTATCTAAGACCGGATGTTGCAACAGCAACTGAATTTAACTTGAGATCCTTATTGGTAACACTAGACATTGATAACTTGATTGGACAGATCTAGATAAAAGCTTCGCCATCAGCGTTCAACTGTTGTACAAGGAGGTTATTTACATGAGACCACAGAGTATATAAACTTGTGGTTCTAAGTTAAAGGCGCTTTCAAATTCCCGCCGCAAATGTGAAATATTTAGTACATAACGTTATGGTTATCTGTGGCCATCAGAGGCTGTGTAAACATCATATAATGTGGTTTCACTGTAAGAATGTTAGTGCTGGTGGTGATATAATGCGAGGATGCTTCGCCTAAATAACCTGAACTCACTGAATGCGGAAGAGAACCGGATTTTGAGGAATTTGATGAGACTTAGCTTAGAATTATTTCTCTAGTAGTGATGAGGGATCTTACGTAGACATACATAATGTTGTCTAACGAGATGTCAGTGGGCAAGTTGTAGCGAGCTGTAGTGTTAGCATTTATACGGAATATTTACTTTAGTAGATCGTATTTATGAGATAAAATTGCCGGTTTTTGGAATGTAGTGCTCATATTGAACAGGACTCCAGATTGTTAAAATTGCATTAAGTCTAGATTGAAGTGTGGTTGTAGTTGGGGTAGATAGAAGTGTGACTAGATACTTTAAGTTTTACCTTTTTTTGTTATTTGTTGTCATCAACATCTTTCCATCGACTGCTAAACATAGCCATATTACGAGTACTATTGTAAAAACGGCGAGCTATACATAACTTCACGCTTGATTTCCATGACGGTAGACAGAGACTGTAGAACGCCAACCGATTCTCACCTCTATCCCTTCATCAATAACCGTCTTCATCTTCATTCTTTTTATTCATGCTCATCGGTTGATTACATCGGTACATTTAATTTGGCCCTTCTTTAATATATCGTCAATATACTGACATCTGAAAATGAAAAACCCATATCAGGGATGCAGTTGAAAATATACTAAAACATACGTTAATCGGCTATTCATCCCAGTGCACTGTGGCTGGTGGCGTGATGGTGTCGGTAACATGAATCAGTTGAGAGAAATGTCGCGGTCATTGTCTTGTTGTAACACTTTATGTAAACACGCCTGACTCACTGTAATTATGAATGAAAGTGAACAACGGACACCAGCATGACCAGCTATCCTTATCCATCAAATCTCCACAACATAATTTCAACTTTGCCCAGCACAAAATAAAGTTCAAAATCTATCTCAGACATCTGACAGTTAAAGGTAGCTTCAAGTGCGTTGTTATAATGTGTGTAGTTAACTTACACACAGACAAAACGGAACTCATAATAAAATAAATATGACGAAACTGTTTTATAATTTTCGAGAGTTATGTTCGCGGGTCCGTGTTGATCACTCGTGACGTCGTGGTGAAGGATTTCCCGGCGGCAGGCTGCTGTACTGTAGCCGTAGTAAATGTTACAGCCATAGAATATTTACTATGTTTGTTGTAATATTTGCTAACAATAAGACATCCGTTTTATGTTCAGATCAGCTGTATGTGACAATAATAGCGTTCTGGTTAATCAATGAACGCTTACTATACTTGAAAGTACTAGCAAATACTAAGAGCCGGAAATCGAAAAAAAAAATCCCTGAAGGGGTAGGCAGAGGTGCACATTACGGCACTTAATGCCACTGTACAATGTAAGACCCACTATTCACTATTTATGTTATGAGTCCCATGTAATAGGGTGTGAGTCTATTGCCATATACCGGACACAATTCCAGATTTTTAAAAACCCAGTAATAATTTGTCCGACCCGGGAATTGATCCCGAGACCCCTTGCCCGGCAGTCGCATTTGCGACCACTCGATAAGATAACGATAAGTGGAAAAAAAAACGAAATACACTATTCAAATCCATTCAAAATGCTTATCTTTAATTACATATTCGTAGTACAAAATAATGGGCATGTTTCAATTTAGTGTTAGTAGTTAGATGCATCTACTATCACCAGTAGTTTCCTACTTGTAATTCTTTCATTAAGGTTCTCATGCAACACGTTCCTTATGTCTCATTCACTCAGGCGGCAGGCTTATCTCAGATCCCATCCGACATTTTGTAAGTTCTTAAATCAATCACAATTAACTACAAATACAGTAAATACTCAGACAACGTTTAGTTGACCGGATGTAGCAGGCAAGCCGACATCCGGTCCGGTTAATTGAAAACGACACCGCTATTAGGAGTCATTAAATGAAAATACATTTCATTAGCTACGGTAGAGCTCACTAATGATTTATATTTGGTTTATAAGTGAGTGATAAGTAACACAAGTAACAGGTTGGCTGGTGTTCACAAAGGAGATCGGCAGATCCTGGCCTCGACCGGCAAAAACGAAATATTGTGGGCTTTCAAGGACTAGTATTCAGCCCTATTTAATTAGTTTTCTGATATGACACTGAAGATGTTAACTATTTGAGTTAGTAGTCAATGAATCCCGCTCTTATTGGTTTTAATTATTTTCAAAAGAGGTGAAACTACTTATTCAACTTTACAGTTGCGCTCGAAAGTGATCGAGGACGCCCGATTGTTTTCGAGAAACGTTGGAAAGTGATCGAATAGCGCTCGAAAATGATTGAAGACGCTCGATCGTTTTAGAGGACGTTTGATCATTTTAAACTGTCAAACACCGCGAGGACACCGGTGACCGCAACCTATTGTTCTTTAATTGTGTCTATAATGACGGTACTCAACGAGTTAAAATGCCCTCTCATTTACCGTCCCACCTGTGTACTCTTCTAGTGTTATGGCTGTACTTACAATACGTATAATATAACATCACGCCTTTTATCCCTGACAGAGGTATCCCCTTGGCAGAGGTGCACATTACGGCACTTGATGCCACTGTACAATGTAACACCCACCCCTCACCGTTTATGTTATGAGTGTCAAGTAATAGGCAGTGAGCCTATACGCACTGTTCTTTAAAAAGGAAATTAAATTCTGGTGTGAGTACTGGGCGCATATTAGTTGATGGTAGTGCGGACCCTTAGGTTTGTAAGTTTACCTATACTATGCCCAAATTAGTTTTCTGAACTTGGTAATAAAAATATAATGATGTTGTTTTAACACAAATATAAGTCAAAATAAGTTGCAAGACCTACAGACAGTGTTGATGGAATTCTAAATTTAATTAAAATTCCATACAAGTCGTAAATCATCATTAAGAAAGTGGAGCTCCGTTTCTTTCAAATACAAAGGAACTATGAAATCACCAATAAATAATAATATATGTTTATAGTAAATATTTCGAGCTGTCGTTCATGCAATTAGTGATATCGAAAAACAATTTTGCTTTCTTTATTTCTAAAACCTGTAATTCTAGGAAAGTGAACTTGCATATTTAAGTTTTTAAATATCTTTGATTTGTGTCTGCTATAAGCAATAAAGACGTTATACAAGCAAAACTTAGAACAAAGTCTAAAAAATAAATCATTAATATGTGGTTAAAAAATTCTGTAGAACAAAAGACATAAACGCGTTAACAAAAAAATCAACAAGTTTATTTAGTTCAAGACATTATGTTTTCAAGTTATAAGTCGTCCTCTCTGGTCTCCTGTCTCCTGGTTGTAGGTGAACAGCCAGCGTAGCATCTTCCACAGAGCCTCCGTGTCCTCGCAGTGGATCTTGTAACATTGTTTCATAGTGCGCCGGGGCAGCGTTCGTGGTCTGCAATACCATAGCATTGGAGAGTTATAATAAGTTCTTTTTTAGTATCTACTGCTATCAAGATAGTTATTGTCTTTGACTTTGTGTAGATATGAATATCAATACTTACGGTACGTAGTTCCTCTCGGAATGCAGTTCGCAGAGCAGCCTCCTCCTGCAGCGCTCGCTGATCGGTGTTATGTTTGTCACGCCGGGGTCCGAGCGACGATACGGGAGAGACGAAGGCTTTCTGAAACAACAGTTATATGTATAACTTAAGAAATAAAGTTACGATACGTCTCGGATGGTTCCATCCCGTTTATCATTATATCAGCCCCAAGACGTCCAGTTCCGAACAAAGGTCTTTATTACCGGATAACCCGTTTGGAAGCGACCTGCATCCAGCGGCTTCCTGAATAGTTTTAAGGCGGTTTTCTTAGTAGTATCTTTCTTAAAGCTTTTTTTCAACTACACGAAGTAGTTAGGTCTGGTAATCCACATGAAGCTAAATATAGTCTCATGCTGGAGAGAATTCAAAATAAATTTATTAGATATTTATACTCGAGGTACTATGGGGTCTATCCGTTTTACCCATTGATGTATCCCACATTATTTATTTTAGGCATGGTGGGGTACAATGAGTTAAGGGTAAGACGGGATTTTGCAATTACCTCACATTTGTTTAAAATATTAAGAGGAAAGCTGCACAATGCAGTCATTTTAGGACAGCTGAGTCTATGTGTTCCGGATAGGTACGTATGGCGACGCCGGCGACCGCCACTGCTGGTAGAACCCCGCGGTCGGACCAACCTATTAAGGGAAGCGCCGCTGACGCGTGCACTTCGCACGCTCAACCTGATTTCTAATGAAATCGACCTATTTTGTTGTACTCTGGGTGAATTCACAAGGAAGGCATTATATGTAATATGCTATAGGTAGATAGTAAGATGAGCACATTTATCGCATTGGGCATCTGTAAAGATAAATGTAAGTGGAATAAATAAATAAATAAAAATAAAATAAAAAAAATAAAAAAAGTTTGTGTGGAACATTCCATGCATGTGATGTATGCGTGCTATATTTCACTACTTACAAAGTGAATCATGTAGCTACAATAATTACTGAGTGCTATACATTTGTAGTAAAGAGCCTGCACTTGTGACATACATATAAATAATGCAGTTTCCCCTAAGTACGTTCATATATGCATGCATATACATATATCCACTAAGTGTTGCGCAATATACGGAGGTGCGCGTCTCTTCCGCGCATGCGCTACGTACGCCTGACCTATTCTCATGCACTGCTGCATCACTGTATGCTGAAAGAGGGAACTGACCACACATTTAGTTGTTTTTATTTAAAAAAATACTGTAATACTCCCTCATAGGTGGAGTAGTAACGTCTAGACTTCGCCTCATGTGTAAATATCATTATATATTGCACGTTATATAAAGATTTAGTTACAAGAGGTAAATATGTATATGCTGCTATCAACGAATATTTTCAAATGATAAAAGTCAGCAATAAATAAAATTATGTAAATTAAAATATTGGAGTCATTGGTCAGTGAACATGAAATCCGCGTAAAACCCTAACAGTAAAGTTATTGGTCACGATTACCATCGCGCGTCGGTTTCCTCAACACATCAAACATCAGACTTTCTATGATAAGCAGCGCATACGTCGTGTTTCTTTTGTTCCTGTACAGAGAATAGCAATCTCAACAAAAACACCGATAATAATTATGTATGTACCTACTTACAGTACGTACTTGTCGGTGGAACTTGGGAATGAATGCATTTCGTTTCAGTCGAGATATCGCCAATAACATTAGTTATAGACAAGTGAGCTGAACTGGCAATGTACCAGTTACATTTGTCGCAAATCTAATCTGTGTAAATATTTTGTATGTTATGATAAATGTAAGGAGTGGGTCCCTTATAAAATCGAACTCAGTTTCAGGCTAACCGAGAAATGCCTGAGTTCAAAAATGGATGCTGATGAAAAGGACTTTATACTAAATGTAGTGGTTGTTAATGAAGGAATGCCTTTACTTCTCGTGTCATCAATCAGCAATGGCGTGTGTCGTGCGCGTGCGCTGTGCATGGTAATCGCGTGCCACGCCGCACTTCTATATCCGCGCTAGTCGCACGCCATCCAAATGTAATCGATCGGAAAACATAGATGTAGTGATGTGGGATGAGCCGTGTCAGGCTCAGTTCAGGTGTGCTCATGGTTAGATTTCATTCTTATTTCTTTTTTTAAGGGTGGAAATTCATCCAATGTAAATCGTATGTAAAATTATTCAGTGAGACGAGAGGGATTGTTCTATTACTCCTTCTCGTGGGTGAATGGGTATACTACTCCTGCTTTGTAGTCGAGCCCCGGTAACCCGTTAAGTTGTACGCAGTTCCGAATCTGGACAGTCCTGCAAGGCCCTATCTGTTGTGGCCTGACGGTCCTTTGAGGAGCGTGCGGATATAACTTAAGTTAACTCGTCGAGTACCGTCTTTGTAGACACAAATATAGAACAATAGGTTGCGGTCACCGGTGACCGCTTGGTGTTTGACAGTTTAAGGTTTCAATTATCTATGCTGTGTTATGTAGACGAGGCCTACAGCCAGTAGTGCACTGACATGGGCTTTTCATGATGTTGAGAAATGTAAGTTAAGTTATCACAAACAGCAGAAGTATAGTCTTTAAAAAGTAAGTAAACCTCCTTATTACCTTGAATAACTCTGTACACATATTGTCTCACTCTTCCATGTATTGTTTATAGATCTATGTGGTGGAGTGATAGTAGAGGAGGAAGTACAGAATCCTGTTCACACCTTTGTGTTTGTAGAATATTTGGCTAATACAATAACGATGTAACATTACAGGGTATTCAAAATTGTTCACTATATAGTGAACCTGCTTTTATACCTACACATACATATATGTATATCAAGTATGATAGTAATAACTGACAAATAATTTTATTACGATGATTTAGTAGTGCTTGTGTGAGTTTAAATCGAAATAAAATTGTATACTATTGTGAAAATAAAACTGTTAGGTCATTGACCTACTGAAATAACTTCTAATTGCTATCAGTATATTGTGATACGTTTATCAGCTACGTTCAGGTACACGGTATGGTAATCAGTAATCAGTAATCAAAATGTGTTATTACAAATACACAAATCAGCAATTATCGCTTGCTGATAATATTTTGCGTAATATTTACTACATTTGCATTAAAATGACATGGCAACTGAATTTGCATTTACTTTGTAGAATGAACCAGAATATTAATTTTGGCTTTCTATGATGATGTGTGTGGAACATAAAACCTGATGGTATACTGACATGTTGTCGTCCACGTTATGTATGGTGATGACGCTGGGAGTGAGCGCAGAGATGATCAGCCCCACTGGGATGAAAGCTGTCACCAGCCGAAGCAGGTTCTGCCACGGGTTCACACTGCAATAATAAATAATTACTTTTTACAAACACTCGTGAAAGATTATGAGTCGTGGTGTAGCCCGAAACTATTATATAGTTGAGGATATCCGAATTACACAAACTACGGGAAGTTTTGTTGTATTATTTAAGGCCTAAAATACAAATAGTCGTGTACAGTAAATAAATTACAGAACAATTTTAAACGTGTTATTAATAAAAATAATTAATTATTTTTTCCCGATATGATACCGAAACGTAATAAAACGCATTTTTATAATAAAAAAGATAGTGCATGTCAATGTCCTTAATCGTCAACTCATATTATTACGTGCTTGTGCAAATAATTGCGTGAAACGAGCGGTCTTTAAACGTATTTTAATAGCAGTATTAGCAGTTGAATATAATAGACCTCCCAGACTTATATAACACAATACATTGTAAGATACATGCATTCGTATTCAAGTATTAAATATTTCGAAAGTGGACTAGCAACAGACAGATCCTACATCATATATTCACATGTCTATTTATTTAAATTATCGTCGTATGCGCACGGGGCGGCGCAGGAGTGATGCGTCAGTCAGTGCGCAGCACGGTGGTCTCACATTTACTATCACTTTGCGTATGCGCATCTATCTCTATTACTGTTTATGATATTTATCAATCATTGATTCTATCTTTGTTATACAAGCTTGAGTTGTGGGCTGGCTCGCAGGAAATGATGAGGATTTATTTAATTGATGAATTCGTAATTTAAAGGTTAATAGAAGTTATATTAAGAGTGATTTAGTCAGGCAGTGTTTTATTATTATTTACATTTCTTATATTAACAGCAACATACATATAAGTGCCCACTCCTGAGCACAGCCTCTTCTAACACGGAGAAGGTTTGAGCATTAATCACCACGCTTGCTCATTACGGGTTGAAGATTTAAAACTTACAATTAGAAATTTAGCCCAGGTTTTGGTTTCCTAACGATGATTTCCTTCACCGTTTGTCAGTGGTGTCTAAATAATCTCAGAAAGTACATATAACTCGGAAAAATCACATTGGTACTTGCCGTTCGCAGGTTTCGAGCTCGCACTTTCTTGCATGAGAAGCGGTCTTAAACCTCTGGGCTAAGGTTATGGTCAAAACTTTCAATAAGTAAACATTTTTACTCAAACATAATTTCTCTACGACTTGCACAAGCCAGTGCTGTATGACTAGTTGTGTGCTTCCTAGTGGCGGCGTGTTCTTACATTTTCTCACGTTGGAGGCAAGTTTTCACGTTTTTGTGTGGTTCTAGTGTCACTAGTGACACAATATATTATGACGTCACACTGTTGAACGACTGTCACCAACTAATGCATAGTGCCTTGTGTCCTCACATTCATTTACATTTCTCTCACGGAGTGTAATATAAGTGTTTTATTGTAACGTGTCATATGACTTTATGAGTGTTACGTAACGCATTCCAGTGGATTTTTACTTGAGGAGTAAGTTTCTTTAATTGTCATGCTTTCAAGATTAAAGTACAAAGTTGAAGTTACATACAACTTTAATACAAATGAGCTTCATTATAATAATTCCAGTGATATGAGTAATTATTGTTAATGTACGAATGTTTAACGAATGTTCGGTCAGTGAAAGGATATTTGCGATACAAAGAGGTCACGCCGTGTCGGCTACGAGACAGTAGACGTTCAGAAGTGCCACTTCAGACACTGAGGTGTAATCGAAATTGACGTAAATGGACATGGATTGGCTATTGTCAGTAAAATAGTTGATAATTAAGTTATTATTGATACCCCGTGGGCCTCGACGTCTTACGCCCGCGGGTATTTGTTGACACTAATAATATGTATATTGTAACAATTACTGTTGGTGACTGGTATAATAAATATTATGTAAGTACTTGAATTATGTCCTTTTGAAAATATTTGTGTCCGTCTACTTCTGTAGCTTTACTCCATAAGAGAACAGTTGACCTTCTGTCCACTGATTGCCCCCTACAGCTTTCCACTTCTCTCCATTGTTTTTAATGTGCAGATATTATTAAAGTATGTGTTTATACCTTTTGCAGCCAATTTATTTATTGGATGGAAATGCTATAGAATTCGTAAAACATGTGATAAAACGAGTGTTGAATCTGAGGGATAGATTAAAATGAAGACGATAGCCAAAGTGCATAGATAAGTGTGACAAATGATATGAAAGAAACATCAGTATGTGATTTAATATCGAGTAACAAGGGTGACTAATCCCGAATAACTTAAGGCAATGGCAGGAAGAAGACAAAGAAGAACAAATTATTCATAAAGCATATTTACTTATATCCTCATTAACATTATAAAAACTTACCGCTTCTTTATAGCATGTTCCTTCTCCTCCTCATGATACTCCAAACCGTACTCTTCAGTACTCTGAGGTTTGTCCTTGAAAGCTTCTGGTGACTTGTAGAGACCTCCAGCAGGAACCTTCACGGGGGCTTCGACCGTGGGTTTAGAGTCCAGGGAGTCCTGCCAACCCTCCCTGGTCTTTGTGTATATAGTGTCTTCGAACTTGTAAGGGAACTCCTCATGGGTGTAGTAGATCTCCTTCGGGATGTTATTGTAACTCGGATTCTGGTAGTAAACTTCTTTTGGTGGACTGAGGAGAATACAGTTGAGTGTTTTAATTAGAGTACCTTGCTTTAGTAAGCCTTGTTTTAGTGGTTTTAATGAAAAGATCACTAATATTCTGAAACATACGAAATCCAAATTGCACAATAAATGCCAATTACTTACTTCATGATTTAACAATGATGAATGAATTGGTGATAAGATAGTGTATTATTTTAACTCAGTATTAAAATGAGATAGTAGCATTGTTTTGTAGCCAGTACCCAAACAGTAACTGTTCTAAATTACCTTAAGAACCCACTAGCAGGTTTCTTCTGGACCGGACCGACAGCTGGTGTGCGTATAACCTCAGCGTTCTCATCATCAAAGAAGCTCCCGAGATGTTGGCTCGGCTTGAAGTCTTTCAACAGTTGCTTTGATTCCTTAGTTTTATTGTTAACTTCTGTCAAATTAGATGGTGCAAAAGAAGATTCTATCTTCCAAGTTTGTGTGGGGAGATTCTTCTTGGCTTCAGTCTTATTAGCTTCACTTTTATTTATAGTGACATCAGTTTTGTTAACAATAGTTTCTGTAGTACTGGGTTTGGTTTGAGTGTCGCTAAATCTTGAATGGATGTCATTTCTACTGATGTTCCTGTTGGAGACTGGGTACAAGGTGGTGATATTAGTGTTCGATGTGTCAGTCTCCCCGAGAGTTGATGCTATAGAGATTAGCGGCAATATCCATAGAGCGAACTGTGAAGAAGAAAAAGTTGGTTTATGTATATTGATTGTTTTGCTATCGTAGTAGCCTGACCTCAATAATCTAAACATTTTAGACAAGATGGGGAGCTAAAGTAATTCGATATTAGAAAAACCTCATGCGTATGGACGAGTGACCGATTTGTACTATAGTTTCTAGTAACTGGATGAACGAGCTTTGCTTAGTGTTTTTTTAATAAACGATCTTTTCCGTAAATGAAACCTAGCTAAATCAATTCACTGCCCCGAAAACCCCGTAATAAAAAATAAACAAGAAAATTGTTGGAGCGTTTCCGAGATCGTTGATATTTATATAGTACATGCTTCGAATGCTTCTGCAAATAATGACACTTCACGACCTTTACCATAACAAGCTTAATTGTATGGACCTTAATAATAACATTAAACTTGTGGTTCCTAGATCAATCCACCGTCGCGGGGTGCGCGATTGCCAATTGTTTGATCAGGCATCACACCGGACAAACGCTGGTAAACGTGCTCCCCTCTGGCGTCTTGCAAAGATCTATAATGAAATCTTTATGGATATTGATTTATTTATGTTAAATAGAAACAATTTTAGAGGTAAAGTCATTGATGTGCTGAGGAGTTTGGATCTTGTATCTTAATATAACTGATTGTTTTGCATGTTTCTTCAAATATAGATAATAAATATTGTTATGTGACCTCATCACAGCTTATGTCTCAAAAGGTAATCTGTGGAAAATGTTGTGGATATTACATTAATTTGGTTTTATGTACTTTACTGATGAATATTATTTATAATGTAATATTGTTTTTTTTCCCAAATATAATAAAATAAAAATAAAAATACATATACAAGAATGGCTCGTTTAAAGGTATTAGATTAGATAAACGGGCAATTCCTGTCCACATTTCGACTTTTCCTTTTACGCCCATAACATAAATATGAGACAATAGCGTTTACGTCAGTGTTGTTATAGTACTACATAACGTGGTAGTGTAGTACTACTAGTAGTAGAGGCAGGCAGGCAGGCGTGGTGACCAGACTCACTGCTTGCAATACAAAGACGGACGAGCGCCGACCGGTCGCCGGGAAAGTATTCAAGACATCAAGTGAAGAAGAAATAAAATGAGCTAGACTAGGAAATCATATTAATCTGAACAGTAGATCGGTTGTAATCAAAAGTGATCTTACATTGTAAGCAATAGAATTTAAAATGTCTTGAAGTTACTAAAGAAATATTTAAGAGCAGATTTATTATTCGGAAAGAAGGCAACGTAAAAATATGTTTTTGGTCCAATCATAAATACCAGCGTTGTAGTAATAAAATATGCGAATTCATTCTTTACTTAAACGTTGTATTCCACCTGTTGAAAAGTTGTTATGTCACATCCGAATTCTTTCGACACTGCGCGACATGTTCAGTGAACCACGGGTCACAGCGTGAACTCGGCGACACCGCCGCACTAACAAATGTTATAGAGCTGTATAGATCCGGGAACGAGTTGGAGAAACCCCGAGCTGACTAGTTATGGGCTTTATCGTGACAAACAGAGACAAATAAGGCAGTGAGAGCCTTGCTAACAACGGTATCACTTGATTAGGGTGTCAGCTATTATCGTCATCGTGATGGAAATTCGATTGCTTCTTTGATTGGGCTGTAAACTCAATCGATTGTACTATTATTGTATTTGTTTTCTAGTTGTTTCGAAGTGAAACTTCATCACTATTTTCTAATATAATTGATAACAAGTACCACAATAGGTAACTATAAATCATTTTGTAATTTTCATATTATGAGATTAATTTGAAAGAACCAGAATAAAAATGAATTATGAAGAAAAGCTAAAATACTTCGTTCAAGTTTCACGAACGATGGTATTTTATATTAAGATTCTAACCACTCATTACCGCACGCTTAATGAGTATTACATGACCTCAGTTATTGTTAACTGTTTATTAGTTAGTTACGTGCTTGAGTTTAACTGACAATCTATTACAAATGACTGACACAGCACAGAGGTCGAGAGTGCCATTACATCACTTATCATTAGCCGCATACCTCAGTCATAGCTGATGACTTATGTAATCAGGTAATATGGCGGCGCTTCAGAAGTCAAGGCATGTCATCAGTCGCTGCTGGGGACTGACTGAGAGGCTGATGGACACCCACGCTTTAAATGTTATGAAGAACATGCTCACTTCAAATTAATAAGTCGAGAGATTCTGGGTTGGACACGCAGCGGTTTAAATGTGGGTAATAAGTGTATGTATGTACCTTATGTATGCCCATAAGTGTTGATTACTACAATGGCATTACAATTGTTAAAATGGCATTGAAATTGGAGTTTAAAAGATATTTCTTTATTCTTTTTTAAGTTGTCTTGATAATAATAATCAATTTTAGGCTACAAGTGTATCTTGCATATCTTAAAAAAACATGAATTAATTATCTAGAAATCTATTATTGGTATGTTTTGTATTTTCCTGTGTTTCTGGAAAACGCTGAGAAACTCCAATATAATGTCAATGACTTTCTCTGGTGACTGATGCAATGTTCTTATAATATTGATACACATGTCCTTGTACACTGACTTGTTGGTTGATTGTAAGCACAACTGCTGAACCCTGAGGCCTTAGTACGAGTTTATTTTACGTTTAAAGTATTCGAAACGAGTACGCGTTCGGCGCTCTGATTGGCCAGCACCAATGAACCAGCCAATAAAATAATAAAGTAAATCAAAATACTAAGTCCTCTGGTCTCACACTGGATTACTGGTCCGTGGCAATGGAAAACATGGAATGGTAATGTCATGTTGTTGTATGATTATCCTTAGGCTGTCCCTTATCTGAATACATAGATATGTACGTTATTTATATATTACTCTATAAATAAGTATATTTCCTTCCAGATAAAAATTCGTAAAGTCACCATGATATTATTTAAAACAGTGATGATATCACTTATAGTATAGGTGAAACGAGGGTACGAATTACAAGTATAGGTTCTAATCACAACCAGCAATTACTTAGCTAATATTATTCCAGTAATTCTGTGGTTAATCTACTCGTGTACTGTTTATATACCTAATAACGTAAAACAAAAGATTAAACATTTATTATTTACGCGCGATTATCGATTATTTCGCGAAATATGTAGGGTATCTCTAGCTATTTATTTATTTTAGCTGGTGTCAAACTGGTTTTAGATTAAATACAACCTTCCGGTAGATAAAGTAAGTGAAATAATATAATTATGGATTGTTTACAGTTAATCTAAATACATACTATTATTTGTTTTATTATATTAATTTCTTTGAGTTTAAAAATCTTAGCACAAATTCAATCGATCTTTACAATGCAATGAGTGCATACTAGTACCACCTGTTAACTGGATATTATTTGGTTATTAAAATCGAACATGAATTGTCTTTTAGTCGGTCAAATCTGCAACCTGCGCCAGCGCCGGTGTAAGCGCACTAGGATTATTGTGTGGTAGGAGTAAAGGGGGGGAGCAACCATCGGTCAGTGACTTACCGTTTTGGGTGAAAGTGAGCGCGTTATGCAACGGCTACATAACAGCGAGCCTGCGCCGGCGCACCGCCGTACTCTGTCACGGTCAGCCTCGCCGACCACACTCATTACATTCAAAATCGATTTTATTTCAGTGAGCTTCCATTAATGGAATTTTTCTTCAGCGATTATAATGGTTGAGTTTATTTGTTTCACGGGTTTAATCGGGTTAGGGAGATCGTGAATGTTATTTGCAGTATCTATACTAATATTATAAAGCTGAAGAGTTTGTTTGTTTGAACGCGCTAATCTCCGAAACTACTAGTTTTTTAATAAAAGTATAAAATGATACAACGTAAGTGCATCGTATTCGATAGTATTACATTAATTTATGTGATGGCGTAGATATACAAGATTGTTCTACAAATAGATAAAAATATTCTAACCAATCAATACTGATCACCTACGACACTACCATGAGCACATACCCCGTATTAGGTCCATCTAGCATGTGGACTTTGTAGACTAATTAGCACCTAATATCTATAAATTTTTTATTAGTTTTTTTTAGTCAGCAAGAGTCTGACACTCCCTCCTCAACCAGATGTGAGAAGTCATTCGACGATTTACCCCCTTAAAAAAGTACCTATATATTATTAATGCTACCTAAAAGTAGTTTACCTATATTTTTGTCAAATAACATAACGCCACGCCTTCTAATACCCGAAGGAGTCGGCGAAGGAGAACAACAACCTTAACAATTTTACATTCGTATGAAGTCTGTGATAAAAATATTAGGAATATTCTACATTAATTTAGGTGTCGATAAACTTCAATAGTGACGTCATCTGATTATTGTTACATAACGGACTAATGTTATGTTATAATGTGTTTTAGCTGATATCGAGAAAGTCCGCACTTATTAACTACAAGATCATGGTATAGATGACGTTATTAAATATTTTGCTGAGATTACACCATTAATTTACTGGGTATTCAAGTATTAATATTGTATGTATAAATTTCCTAGTTGTATTCTCCAAAATTGAGAAAAGAAGATTTTTGCAATTAACAATGCTTCTCATGCAGGAGGGTTCAAAAGTTGACAAATACCGATATGATATTTTCCGAGTTATGTGTACTTTTTAAGATTATTTAAACACCAGTTGCCAACAGACTACCTCGTTGGCCAGAGCGACTACTAGGCCCTTGACTAGTAGTCGCTCTTGGGTTCGATTCCCGGGTCGGAAAAGCATTACTGAGTATTTAAAAAAAATATCAGTAGTAGCACGGAGTCTGGAATTGTGCCCGGTAAATGGCAATAGGCTCACCTACTATTACATGGCTCACCTACTATTACACATTGTATAGTGACATTAAGTACCGGAATGTGCACCTCTGCCTACCCCTTCGGGCAAAAACGGCGTGATGTTACGTAAAACGATAAAAAAGTTGAAAAATTATTTTTAGGATTTGTGGATCCTGGACTTTTTCTGAGAGTTTAATTTCATTAAGAATATTGTGGTTTTGTTATATTTCTTAATGTAAGGACTACTCTGAATGAAAGACTGATTGATGATACTCAAGTTTAAGTTAAATTAATAAACAATTGAAGTGAAGAATGGACTAGTAGAGAAAAAATCCATTTGTATCTTTTTATCTAATAATATTAGGAAATGTAGGTAAGTTTACACATCTGCCCACTCTTTAAGTTTACCACCGTCGACAAATTAAATGTTTGAATATATTAATTAACAAAGCTATGTTAATGAACACAATATATCAATTAGCGCTCGTTGATTATGACGTCCATTATTTACACATTCATTATATCTTATGAATATGAAATGGCTTCTCATTTAATAATTAAGATATACGAATGTATGTATACATAAGTCTTACTGCCTGCCCCTTTAAGTTGGTTTGTTGGTTTCGAGATCACAAGCACCCTGACATTCAGGAATGAAATACTTTTAAAAACGAGGCGTTGAAGTTATAGGTAATCTGTTTATCACTATCACTAGATTAACTTATTGTTAGACCTAACGATTGGATCATCGAAACTACACATCATGCATGATATATCCTGAATCCTGATAAGTTTGGCTGTGGAATGCGCTCTCCCTGGATGTCAGGATGGTGCCCACTCGTCTAACATTTAAGCAGAAAGTACGTAACCTTCTCTTAGAGAGGTTGACTCAGGGAGGTGATCGGCGATGGCGACCTCTCGCGTCCGGGCCTAGTGCAGGCCATGATGCGGAGCGAGGGGGATTGGGATGCCGTCTCCTCCTTTTGCGAAGCAGTCATGCTAGCTAAGGAGGAGGCGGGACGCGTGAGGCAGCGAAGCGCTGCCTCCTCGCAACCCAGCCATCGCGAAGGACACACCGGGCGTCGGGGATCGCGGGACGATCTCCGGCCACCGTAAGCGCGGGCCTGCGGACGGCGAGCATGGGTGGCTCCCCGTCCGACCAGAAACAGACCCGAGCGTACGGCGCGTCGCGTTCCGCGCGCGCCTCAAAGAGCCATCAGACCACCACAGATGGGGCCCAATAGGGCCGATGCCGATTCGGAGTCGCGGAGAACCTAACGGGTAACCGGGGCTCCGGCTCGACGTGCAGGAGAAGGAACGGGGTGGTTTTTAGTCAGTAAGAGTCTGACACTCCCTCCCGCCTCACCCAGGCGGGGGCAGTCATTCGATGATTTTCCCCCCTTAAAAAAAAACGAGGTTGACTAAATCATCACGCTAATTATTCACTGTGTATTAGTAGCTATGTATTTATTTATATATTATGTATGTGTGTGTGTATGTATATTGTATTGTACTCGCGTGTAGGTATATGTTATAATTATATTTATTTATGATTATCTCTGAAATATGCAAGTGTATCTTCTGTTTGTTCTATTAAATCTTTGCTTACTTCTTGTTCGTACCATTCACTCTGCATCACCCAAAGGTCAGACTGGGAGAAAATGCCTGCGGCATTAAGTCCGCTTAATGTACCTCTATGTACACTTTGTGCATGAAGCTTAAATAAATAAATGTCTAATAAAACGTGAGTAAACTAAAAAATATAATAATTAATTTTATTTCTCACGAAAGTTGGTGCATATAGAAGGTAAGTTGAAGTAAAAGAATTTCCATCGGGTTTCATTCAAAGGAATGTTTAAATTTATTTACTCATTCATCGTTATCGGTATTCCAATCAGGATATTATGATTGTTTACCAAAATAGGCAGTTTGTACTTATGCGAGGGGTCTGGCGGCCGCGCCTGTGAATGACATCCCAAACAAGGTTCGAAGTAATTATTGAAGTTCATGGTGAAAGAGACACTGTGACTGAGAGACCGGACTGCTGGCTGGTGGTACCCAATTTGTAAAATTAATGACAATGACTACTTAATTGTTGCTATGAATTTTTACTGGAATTCCTGACTTATATAATGCTGTATGCATTTTCCCAACGCGTGATCCATGGGCTATTGTAATCTGGATTTAGCGTGTAGTAATTATGCCACATGACGTGATTTATGTATTTAAATCTAAAAATTTAGGTCTATGTATTCGTCGACGGACATATCTGTATCGATATTTATGCTGAGCAGTTGTGCTGATGAATTTATCATAAATAAACACTGTGATCAGAACAGATCCGAGCGTATGGTGCGTCGCGTTCCGCTCGCGCTTGTTGGGGCTTCGGCTCGAAGAACAATAGCTAGTAGTGGGGTAGTTTTTAGGCAGCCCATTTTTGCACAAATATGGAAAGCCTATTCAGTACTATTTATACAAGTCTACACACTTTACATAGGTCGTAAAGCCATCAAATACTGTATAATGGGAGGCACGGTGTCTGTCACCATGGTGTCTGACCGCACAGGTGAGGACAGTGAAAGTGTTCGAGCTGCGCCCGCGCACCATGCACTGTGGCACCGTGGGAATACTCTACGCTACGTTTTATTGATACTAAATGTAATATACACTGATAGGTTGTAGTAAAGTGGAAATGTCTGGCGTTTTGTGAAAACTCTAGTTATGAAGTGGATTTTATTTCAGTTTACGGAAGTCTAGATATTCGTAAAATATGGAAAATAGGTTTTTGGTTTAAATATTCTTGACAAAAACACAATATGCAGATCAAATGAAAAAAGCCGAAATGCGCACCACCGACATATCCAAGTTAATACATCATATGTTAATATTAGAAGTGAACCGCACTATCTTAATCCACAACACTATTTCATATATGTAGATAGCAGATATCACCACCACGTGACATACAATATTTACTATCACTTACAATTATTAACAACAACATATAATGACACGTAACACATATATTAGTATTTTTATCATTCCCCCTATCTTACACAAGTGTCCGCAACACGGGGCCTATTACGAAACGTCTCGGGTTTACGATCAATCACAAATTCACAATCGAATATCGATATAAATAATCGATACATCGTTATCGGGTTATCTTAGTTAACGTCCGTGAGTTAATCTCTCGATGGTTCAACTTGAACCTTAATAGAGTTATTGTGTCTTACAATAGTATTATCGAGTTATTTGTTTGTGAAGGTAATGATGGTCGTTACGTTACGCAACCAATACTTGGTTTTGTGTTAAAATAGAGAGTTGTTTATTATTTGTGCTGATGGCTGTAATATATCTCTAATCGCATTCCTCATGGGATTAACTTTGTAAAGAGTTGAAGTATTTACAATGTATTTGAATGTTTTGTGTTGCGTAGGCGCGCTTTGAAAGCTTTTCTGATGATTTTATTAAATTAAGTGAATAGTACATTTGTCTAAATTAAAATAATATAAAGCGGGGTGCACTTACTCACCATCCTGCACACACTACATGTCACAACTTTCTGTTTAAGTATAACGTTGTCTTATATTTATAATATCTCGGAGACGCGTCGCCATTGTGGCACCAGGTGAAAAGCGCGCAATTTTCCGCGCCGCGCATGCGCACATTGTACCTGCGCATAAACCGACGCGCAGCCTGCTGTTTAATTATTTCCACGTCTGCGCAACTTTTGACGTAACGCCCATTAAAATTATAGGGATAAAGATTTTCTTTTGTTTATATTCCGTTCTACAGTTGTGTGATACTTCTGCTTATTAATTTTCATCTTTACATTACAATTGTATAATGAAACAGTTGTTGAACTAGTCCATTCTATACGGAACTGATTTATAGTATTCACAGTACGGAAAAAAATTGTAGTAAATTTAGTAGTTTCAGTACATACAAATATGTACGATTAAAAGTCTTCAACTATAAAAAAATAATTTAATATCCTTAAAAACTAAGTTATAAATGAATTACATCTATGATTCGATAGTCTCTGTCGGTGTGTCTGTCTATACGTAGTAGTACTGTGTCTTGGCGTGCTGCAGCACGTGCTTGTTGGCCCAGTAGTTCTCCAGCACCAGCTCTTGCCGTCTGCTGTTCACCACCACCGCGAAGTATAAGAGGAGAGCTGGAAACAAATATTTAGAATCAATATAAGCAATAATCACTGTTTATATGTTATGGAAGACGCTTTCAACTGGGCGATCTGAAAGTCTTTGGGGAATACGTATGTTGTGATAATACAACGAAAACGTATAACTATAACTTGTATTTCCAAAGTACAGTACAACAATCATCGTTGAACTTAGAACATCTTTAGAGGTATATCATCTAGCAGAACACAGGCACACAACAAGACTACATTAGGCAAATAATCACGTCTATAATAGTCATCCTTCCATGCGCGGGATCTTTGACCCCAGACCACGTAACACAGTACAACACAGGTAATTACAATGGTTACACAAATGTCCCTGCACTGACAATACGTAAGCACCACTCAGGTGACTCAGTATTGTGCGCTCCACGCTCTGTGGCTACGTAAAGCAGTGTGAAAGAAACTATTTTTGGTACATTGTAATTTGTGACCTCTAGTTAAAAACCCTTTTGTCTAAACAAATTATGGTTAGGTAAGTGTGGGTATGGATGTTAATGTCACGCTTTTCTTCCCTGTATGTTTGTCTAATAACTTTTTAATATACATTTGTTTTCTTTGGAACTTTTAAAGTTTCTACAGAATCATTCTTTGTTAGATATTTGATCGTTTTAACACTTTTTAAACCACTGAATATTTGTTTTCAAAAAATAGGTAGGTTTGAATTTGATAAAGACCTGTAGATGCTCAAAACAACATTTGATGTAAACTAATTGATAACCGACGAACATGCATGAAAAGATTAATAGATGAAAAGATTAATGACTGTTGATGAAGCGAAAGAGGTATCTAGGAAACGTAGTAATTGGCGCACCATAATCTCTGCCTACCCTCCATGGGAGTCAGGTGTGAAGTTATGTCTATGTATGAATTGATAACACGAATGTATAATAATTATGGATAAGATTCTAAGATTTAAAAGAGTTTTACAATTGACAAAATATTTTGCGGAATTAACGAAAGTTTATTGGCGCCAAGCATTGATAACGAGGTATACCACTTCAGGGAAAGGATCGAGTTATCTATCGGAAAGCAAATCTGTCTAATCATCAGCATTAGCTATCGTAAACAAATTGTGTTATCTGCCAGTACTAAGTAGCAGGTAAAGGCACCTCCATAGTGCTTCCACTAACAATAAATATGACGATATCTAGAGTGTTGTAAACAGTCCTTCGAAGGGGAATTTTCGACCTTATCTATATATTTAGGTGCAATGAGCCAATGACCATATCATTGTTGGATTGTAATCTATTATGGTTTTCTGAAATCATCTTTCTTGATCTGCGGAATATAATTGTCATGTACATGCTACACGTGGTGATGCTCTTAAGGGGACTGGTGATGGAATAGGTTCTAGATACTAAGTTTTCGACCTCCGCGGTACCATTCCTTATTAATAAACACATACACATAATATCACGCCTTTTATCCCCGAAGGGGTAGGCAGAGGTTTATGTTATGAGTCCCATGTAATAGGGAATGAACCTATTGCCATATACCGGGCACAATTCCAAACTCCGTGCTACTACTGAGATTTTTTTTAAAAAAATCCTGTAATATTTTGCCCGACCCGGGAATCGAACCCGAGGACCCTTCCCCGGAAGTCGCACTTGCGACCACTCGGCCAACGAGCCAGTCTTATTAATAAAGTAATGTAGAAAATGGCTTAAGCAGGCTTTAGAGCTCACTGGATGCATACACTTACGCTTATGTCGTTTAGGTATGTAGGCAGAAACTACAGACCACTACGTTCGTTATTCATACATTTGGTTTAATTAAAGCTCTTAAGAACCATTTTGAAGGATCTCTCCAATAAGTTATCCACCTGAATAGACGAAGTACACGGATATCACAGCGCTGGCCTCTGCGATGGTGTCGATGTTCCTGCTGAAGGTGAGCAGCACCATGCCGGCCACCGTCAGCACCACCAGCACCAGCCCCTTCCACCACGCCAGCACCAGCCACGGCCACATCAACTGCGGCTTCCTCTGTAACGTTACATGCACAATACTTTAGCAACAAAATCCATTTTACGTAGGAATTATTTTTTCTTAAATTACTGACGCTGTCTATTGATGTGTACGAGCGCCTGCTGGATATACCATAGCAACGACGTGTGCTTAGTATAATGTTAGCAATTAAGTAACTAGTATATTTATTTGTATTTATTTTGTGTGTACCGACGCTAATTTCTTCACTTGCTGTGCTGTACTCGTTGAGTTAACACCTCATTAAAATTCTACTTGCTGAGTATTCTTTGAGTCTTTTCCTGCGAAGCCCTGGCCAATACATGGTCCTTCGAGCCGGATACATTATATACAGAAGATCAGCGCATATAAATAGAGGATATCGAGCAATAAGGATCCAGCGTGACATCGAAATTTTGGATTGGACTAAACTCAAGCAGTGATTTAGCGGTGTAAAGCATTTAATTTAAATAATATCGTCACCCAACACTCAGGTAGTATAAGATAAGGTCGTCGTCTTGAATAAAAGGCCAGTATCATTTT